ACAGTCTTCCATAGGGCTCCGGCACTTCTAATTTTAGAAACTAAGCCCTGCAAGCTTCATATCTACCTAAAGAGAGGACTGCCTTTCTGACACTTTTTTAATGAAACTGGCTCATATTTACATTACAGAAGGGACAAACCATGAAATCTCCCATGCAGTTGGTTTATTCGTCAGGATTCGAACCTCGGTCTGACTACTAATGTTCTGCTGTCTTGTAGGCTCAATTGCCACTGTGAATATCTTTTATATATGGTTTGCATCAGTGGCATAGCTAGGAAAGGGCAAGGGGAGAATTTGTCCCGGCACAGAATACAGGGGGCAGAAAATTGATGTTATGAAATTTTAAAATTAAGTTTTTTCCATTCTTGGTGAACAAGAGGTAGTGTCAAATCTTCAGTTGGCCCCAAACTCCCAAAATGCTTGCTACGGCTCTAGTTCATATATGCTCTGCATAGTTATATGCACATGTATAGTGTAAATATTGGTGACAAACTACTTTCAAGTAAGTTTAGGAGGAAAAAAAGGGAAGGAGTTAAACAAATGTAATCATTGAGAGGAAAAGCAATTTTATCTGAAATAAAGGAAATACATTTTGGTACTTAGTTTATTTGGATGATATTTAATAGAATGGAAAAATCTGAATTTGATACCTGCAATTTGTAATAGTTATTGATGATATGAGTCTTTATAGACAGTAGTTTCTGATGTACCATAGTAAATTCCCTGTAATGCTTTTTTGGCAAAATTTGAGTTTTTATTGTTTTAGTTTTAGTAAGGATGTGCTGCCAAAGTATAAAATTCTCTTATAATTCTGAACATTTCAGAACTGTAAATTTAAAGCAGTCGTTTTCATAGAATTCCATATTTTGTATAACTTCATGTAATAGATTAAAGAATATGGGAATAAGTAAAAGCTTTGTAACACATTTACTGTTACGTTACATAATTCTGTTTGTATGAAATAATTTTAATGTATGTTTTATTTTTAAAAATGCACATTGCATTAAAATACTTTTTATTTATACATATTACAATCAGTACAGTGAGGAACATTCATACTATATACAAACTATAAAGGAAACATTAACAGACAGATTTTTGCAGCAACCATAAAATAAGAAGGTTGCAAACAGCTAAATTCTTAACATTCATGAAAATGAAAGGTGTCTATCCAATTTTTACCTGAGATAAAAAATACTGTGCTGCAGTTAATTAAAATCCTGAAGTCACATATTTTAGTTTTAGCAGAACATATTAATGAAATATTAAAAATTCAACCACTATTTTCAGAGAATTTAATTAAAATACAAGTTAAAAATTAAAAATAGATACCAATAAAATGACAAAAAAATTTAAGCTACAGGCAAAAATATTTCTAAAAAAAATTACACTTGAAAGAAAACTGAAAAAATTGCTACTCTACTACTATAACAGCACATAACAATTGACTTGCCTAAAAGCATTTAAATGTGCTTTAGAAGAAAGCTACACATATTATACAGTAGCGTCTATGGTACACAAACATATGATGCAAAACTATAAGTAAAGTCCATATTAATGAGATTTGATGTAACAAATTTTCATATGAAAGGGAAATGGTATCTTGATGATAAAATGCACTTCATTGGAAGAGGTAAAATGAATGAAAATTGATGAACAATGTTTTCACAAATTCAAAGCTTCAATTTTTTCCAACTCTCAGCACTGAAAAATAAAAGAAAAAATTAATAAAACATACTAAAAGGCATTTTTAAATTCAGATACAAATAGATCTCATTCAGATTTAACTGGAGATACTTAAATCCTCCCTTAAATTCATCTAAGCATCATATTTTACCAAAACTGTATTTTATTCAGTCATTCACTTTTATTTAATTATTTATTTTTGTGTATGTATTTACCAAAGAATATCATGCTTATTTTAATAACTACATAATTTCTGTCAAAATACTGAACTTATTATTTTTAAATAAATTATTATACATTTGGAAAGTGCACAAACAATGATTTTATTGATAGATCCTTAGGTACCTAATCACACTGGTTATGCAAACTTTTCACTACACCAACTAGCAACTAATAAATCATTATGATGATCAGAAAATTTTATTAAAAAATAAAACCTTGTGCAACATGCTATTAATGTAACTTTTTTATTTATTTCATTTCCCACTAGCAAATGCATATGGCTCTATAGTTTTTAAGGAAATTGCAAATACACTACTATTGTTTTAATTATGATTTCTTCTGATTAATTGATATCAGCAGTGTATATTTATTAAAACAGTTATTTTCTAAATATAAAGATATTCCAACGCGTAAGTGCAATTTTTTTTTATGCACAAATTCAAAGTAGAAGTCAAAAAATTAAAAAATAAACGTTAAAAAGCACATGAATGAAGTTATATGTAAATTAATACTTATACCATAGTTCACTGAATCGAAGAAAAAAAGTAGTAAAGTCACTTATTACCTAGTAACTGTGTACTGCATTGAAATATCAAAAGATATTAAACTTGAAAACAAAAGAGTTACTTAAAAAATGAAATTATTGAGAAGGATTGCTAAATTAGATAAGAGATCCATCAGCATTCTGCTAAATACAGGCCAAAATGCATGACTGCAGTAAAAAGACTGTGCAGATTAGCACTAAATGAAAGGAAAAAGCAGAGAGTATTCCATCTAATTAATAGTATGTATTAGTAATTCAAATAATTCATTGCATGACTAACAAGGTTACTCCATGCAACTACTACAATACTTTAAAGATAAATAAATGCAGTAAAATGAATACAGGATCATTTGCTAACATGAAACAAAGCTAAAGATTAAAAGGGATTAAAAACTGCAAAAATGTGGTCAGATAAATATAAAATAATTATTTTATCAGATGAGGAAAATTCGACATAAATAGTTCCAATATTAAAAGCATGCTACTGGCATGACTTGAAACAAACAAAATAATAATAATAATAATAATAATCAGTTTTTCAGCAGGTAAGCTGAAAAATTTAAAGTGATATGTTTTAGATCTATAATTTCAAGCCAATTAGCATATGACACACATATTATCACTCTGTGAACATTAATTTTTTTTTAACATTACAAGGTAGTTGAAGATTCTTGTAATAATTTCCTAAGATCTTCCTCGAGAATGCTTCACTGACACTCACAGCCATAAAATCATTAGCATCATACTTTAGAATGAATTATCTAAAAACAAGGAAACTAGGCATCTGAAAGTGTATGTAAGCTAAATGATGTAAAGAAAATTGATTGAAATTTGATAAAGCAAGTAAGGAAGGCACATTTAGATTCAACTAATCCATTCAAAGTCCATCTGTATATTTTCCTATATTTGCAATAGTCTACAATGACTAAATTTCTCAACAAGAGTATGTGCATATTAATCAGTAAAACACTAATTTCAAACAAATCATTGAGATCAAGGACTAGCCATTAAAAAGGGAAGTACTCAGTCTAATAAAGCATCGAAATCGAGTGAATGGTTAGGCGGTATTTAGTAGCCTCTGCTACTTTAACCGTCTCTGTTGGAGTATGCCCTAAGGCGTTGGGAAGAATTAAAAATTAAGGTGATTTACACTGCACCGACAAAGGTGAAGCAGGAACATGTGTTAATGCACGTGAGTTGGTCAAGTAGACTTTGGAGAAGAGGGTTCAAGCATGGCCGCCGTACAAGCTGTGATGATCTTCACTAGTTGAAGATGATACCTCGAAGCAGGCACTGGGTGGTCACCCCCCAAGTACTGACCCCGAGCTTGCTGCTGTAAACAAGGGAACCTGTGTATTGAAAGTGAAAAGAATGGTAAACATAGCGAAATTCCTCAAATGCTTCTAAGTGGTGATCCTTCACTCAGCAAATCATCAGTTGGCTGCTTGACTCGCAGTAAACTTCTCAGCCGTGGTTTTGCAGCGTGGGATCTTCTAACGTGCTCACCATATGTCAGAAATTTTTTGATTTTCTTGGATCTGTTTATCTCCTTGTTCTGTGGGTGTTTTCTAATTTTTTCTTTATCACTGTAGAGAGGTTTCATCTGGGTTTTATGCTGCTCCTCGTTCGATGAATTCGGAAATCTGCCGGCGTAGGGATTAGCGATGGCTTCGCTGCTGCTTCTTGCTTCATCGTTCGTTACCGGGCAACCCCTGTATCGACATGCGGTAGTGAGCAGAAGATGAACTTAGATTTTTTCTGGCTTTAGAGGGCATTCTTTACTTTATGGTGCTGTCCCACACTTGCAGCATCGCTCAGGATTGAGCAAGAGTTTCAATGTCCATATTCTTGCATCTAGCATTGACTTATGCGTTTTTTGGGGCTTCTTTCTTGACACATTAACATATTGTTAGTCCATGAATGCACGTCCTTCCTTTTCTTCCGCTCATAGGATCGGAGTTTCTGCTCGCGTCTCTCTTATCTGGAAAACTGCTGACTTTCTTATTGGGAATTTCCTTCTCTCCAGATCTTAATAAAGCATACCTAGTAAACTCTTTTTATAGTGATAATAAACAATTTTTTCCCCCTTAAAAAGATGATAAAATGTTATCTCCTAACTGCATCCCAGAACAGTATATATAAGGAGAAATATAATTAGTACGGGGAAATTGGCTGTACCATTAATTATTAAACCCGAGCTCAGGATATTGCATATATCAAAAGCAAAGGATTCTTTCTTGATAGTTAATCTTCTACCTATATATATTTATGTTTTATTTCAGAAATGGAGAATGGAATTAATTAAAAAATTTTATATCTTTAAATAGTCAAATCTTGTTTTGAACATATATTTAAAAAAAGTATCACAAAATATTTTCCACTAAATATTTTGCCCAAGAAAAAAAGTTGTGTATTTAAATTTCAGAAGCTAAATTCTTCTGAAAATTAAGCTCATTTATGCAATATTAAACAAACAAACACAAAGTCCTTTTTTTTAGTCATAAGAATTGATCATGAGTACATAATTCTACGCATGTAAAGTATGTACTTGTTTATAGGTCTGTGCCTTTGTTGCCGGGAGGTCGCTGCAGAGAGATGACAATGCCTTGAACAGCTTGGGGGCAGGAATTCCGACTAAAAAGTTAGATTGAAAAATAAATATAAATAAATAAATTTTGTCATTCAGCAAACGAATAATCTAGATACCAACACAAAATATATTTATAGGCAAGCAGTGAAGGTTCAAGTATTTATTCCTTTTTTTATTATTATTTTTATTTTTTTAACTGTTTTGCACTATACGAAAAAAAGTTAAGAGGCAAATTTTTAAACTGACTGATTAATTTGCCAGAGGAATAAGAAACATCTATTTTTATAAGGAATATCTTTCACTAAAGTTTTTCTAACTTAGTCACACATGTAAGTAAAATGATAAAAATCGATGACCAGATTATTTTGTAAGAATGACTCACATTTTGAATTACATACTTTACCTTTCACATTTACAGGAGTGATTGTAACCATTTAAAAAATGATGAAAAATACCACACAGTAAAAATTCTACATAATTTCCAATAACTCTGAATGTTTTTATGAAACACTTACAAATATGCATATATTTCCAAAGTATTTCACTAATGAAGTAAAGTTTTTTTCTTTTTTTAATTTATCAAGACTTAATTTATATTTCACAACATTAGTTTGGTTCCTCAAAATTTTTTTGAAATAGCTGCTATGCTAAGCTGAGCTTCTTCTTCTTCTTTTTTTTTTTTTTTTTTTTTTTTTGAGGGGGGCTTTCTGGAAACTAATGCATTGACTATTCAACTATTCAAAATGGGTTCACAAAAGCAAGTTAAACAGACTTTATCAGTTTTCTCAATATTGGGTTTTCTGTTTGCTGCCTTTTTTTAGTGTGAATCTTTCAGCCCAAAACTTTGCAATATCAATTTTTTTTCTGTTTCTATGTAAAGCAAATTGTAAAAATAACTTTATTTGCTCAAGATTTGAGAATGTAAAATTTCTATATTTGGACCACAATCACCCCCTACAATCTGGTAGTTTTATTTAATCAGAATCCTTCAGTAACAAGGTGTAAAATGCAAGCAAAGATTATTTTGATACGAGTTTAATGGTAAACTTGAATATAATTCTCTGGGTGGAATTTAAAGATGAGATTTGCAACTACTTGATAAATACTTATGAAAGTGTTATTTGCCTTACCACATATAAAATCCTGTGTTTCTAGATGATTATACTTTCCAGAAATTACCTCTAATAGTTTGATTAGAGAGAATGAACATTTATTTAAAAAAAGCTGATAACTTTACAATGTACAGTATATCAACTTTAGTAAGATAACTTACTTTTTTGAGGTGCACCATTTTCAAAAAACTGGTAGAACTGAGAAACATAAGTGGCAATGCTGAGCGTATCAGGTTCATCATACTTGACCATATCTTCAGCATCTAACAAAGCAGGAATGCCCAATCTTTCTTCAGCTACTTGAAATGCCTGCAAGGAAAGAAAAAATGTAGTTAATGATCTATGTAATCAAAATTAAATTTCAGCAGCAATGTATAATAGGTGAAAGATTAAAACTAGAAATGTAGTTTGTGCATTTTATGATTCAGGATAAAGATTTGATACGTTATACTTGAATATTTGATACGCTTTCAGTCAAGACTCTGTAGCGAAGGGGGGGGGACTTAGGGGGGAAAATACATCTGTTCAATAAAATTAGAGCTATATCACAGAACATGCATGGGCAACCACCAATCCAAGGACCTATGAAATTTATTATCTATCCCAATTGTAAATTATTGTGAAATAAGTGCAGTTTTTTTAATTTATAAATTTATTATTACTATTATTTTCAAACCTTGTGAATATGTACTTGAGCTATCACTTCATCTTATATCTTTTATCATCTATAATTGCATTTACTTAATATAACAATAAGAAAAACATCTCATTTTAAGCACTTTTGCAAGAAAATAATATTCTTTTAGGCAGCACATGCGTTATTTTTAATATGCAACACAAGACACAAATGCGTAAAAAGGGTCCACCAGCGGCCAAGCGGTAAAGACATTGAACACTGCTAGTTCGGTCCGAGGTTCGAAGGTTGGCTGCATGATCGTTTTCGTGGTTTTCCCCATGTGTAACGTGTTATACGAGCCAATTTCCCTTAGAAAGTCCTCCACGAAGGCCTCCCTTTAGGCAGATAGCCCTCATGTGCTTTGCCATAATTAAATTATCCAATCCAATCCAAATGCGTAAAAGGACGACATAAATCTAATTTAAATATCTCTCCCAATATATTACTGGTATCAGCACACCATAACTAGAAGAGTTCAGATATAACTAAAAGTCAGTGTCCTAATTCTCTAAATTCATCTATTTCCTTTTCGAGATTTTTTAGTAGGAACGCTACTGAAAAGGCAACCAAAACTATATTAACAATCGAGCTGTCTCTAGAATCGATCTAATATGGATCAGCCTAATACTCTTTCTTCCCTAGCTTCGCAAAAATCCCCATTTGCTCTCTGTCTAAATGCTGCGTAGTATTTATAAAACATGTTCATAGCAACATCATTTCATGAGATGAATCAAGAAATTCGGATTATTATGATGATTTTATAGGCATGGCTCAACATTCTCAAGTTCCGTTTTATTTTCATCTGTAACCTTCACCCCACCACGACGACTGCAAGTGATCCTTTCTATGCTCCGAATTATACACACATCCCTCATATAATATAAAACAAAGTTGAAATTTAGACACCTTTTTTTCGGGGAACATATATTAAAATACATGAAATGTCATCAGATAATCGATACAGAAAACAGTATTTGTGGAGAGGGGGTCAATGATTTCAATGTTCCTTCTCCTGCGAGTGGCACTGAGTTATTTAATTCCTCTTCTTTATGTTCTTTTCTTTAATTTTCTGATTTTTTTAATGGGGTATTGTGTTGAAAAGTTGGGTTTTAATATTTATAAAATTCTTACTGCTTTATAGGATTATTTGGAATTTCTTTCTTATAATTCAATTTTTGTTTGTAATTATATTATAATTATTGCATCGACAAATTCCATCTCTGAAATAAAATATATATATATATATTTTTTTTTTGTAAGTTCCACGGTTTCAGTCAAACGCAGTAAAAAGTAAAAAATAATTTTCTAACTATCATAACGTTCTTGGTGTGATTAAAAATAAATATATGGGATTGTTGACAATGAGCGATTTTAATTCAGAATTGTTAAAACAATTTAACTTAAATTTTATGTCCTTTATTTTTTATTCTAAAAAATATGGAAGAAAAGTCTGAAGAAAAGCAAGTCCCGTTTTTTTCAATCTAAAAAAAATTTTACATAGAAACATAGAAAATTAGCGCATAGAAACATAGAAAAACATAGAAACAGAAAATTAGCGCAGCAACGAAGTAAGTATAACATTATCTTTTGTGGGGGTCTTGAGATTTTTTGACGTTAAGACTGCGATTCGTTTCAATTTCTATTTGATTTAAAAACTCGATTTCATCACCACTTAAAATCACGGAGCTGTTAACATTAAAAAATGAATTTTTTTGGTTAAAAATCCATCACTGTTAGAAGATGTGCGATAATTAAAAAACGCTAAGTTTTTTAAAATTGCGTTAGAAATTCCAAAAAAACGTTTAACCAATGTTTATGACAACGACGAGATCAAGTAATAATTTCAAAATGAGTACTACAACTCTTTTGTCTTTTGAGGCCTTTTTATTTAAATGTTAAATAAGAGAAAATAAAATCTGAAATGTTTCAGATTTTAAATTACGTCCAAAGGGGCGTTTTTTAACATTTTGTGTGTTACCTTTCTTTATTAAATATCATGTTCCTCGCACTTAAATCATAAGATCCAGTGCAACAGCATATCGCAAATAGTTTTAAACGAGCGTATCTTTAGAATTTCCGATACAGAGCTCACGCGCTGGAGATAAAAATGTTTTTTTGCACACGTTGCCATTGCTCGCTTTGAAATCCTTGAGTTTTAATCAAAAATCGTCAAAGTTTTAAAAAATAGGAAATCGATCATAAAACAAATTTCAATTTCAAATTTGGTCTTCCACATGCTCATATTCGTTGGAGGATTACGTTATTCAAAATTCGATGACTCTAGTACCGTATTTTATGACAATGTGAGAAATATACATACATTTACGCAGATTTTCATTTTAATTTCTTCAAATATAATGCAGGATCTAACATTTTATGCAACAGTTTGAAAAGTGAACAGACATTTATGAGTCCGACGCAAAATGCCAAAACGAAACTAATGGTCCTTCGGGATTCAAATCCCTTTGGACTAAAAAATCAGAAGAAACGTCTTTTAACACATCTCAACAAAATTTTCGGGTGTCTGAATAGTTATGTACTTATTACTGATTAAATCTTTTAGAATAAATTATTTTACAGCAGAGAATATTTTGATAATATTGATTTTGTAAGAACCAAGTCTTGAAATAGAGGAAAAAATTTAGTGGAAGATAAATTAAAAAAAAAAAAAATTGCAAACGTCCGAAAATAAATGTGAGCCACTATCTGTTGTCTCTCTCCAGTTACCACAGTGAAGCGTAGAATCCTGGAAATAACAGATAATATCGAAGAAACTTTGTTACTTAAAACAGCGCATTTTTTCCCGTATCAGGATGATTAAAGTAGACATACTGGATAATGCTGATTTCACGTGTTTTGCGAGATATGATTTTGAGAATACATCTAATGAAGAATTTCTATTTCTAGTATAACACTTATATAATTCGAAATATCGATTTTCATGTATGTCTTTATTTCTTAATCAATAATTTTACTTTGTTTTTCAGAAGGTTTAAATATTTGTCGAATTTCACTGCGTATTTTCCGAAGTGCTATTTTGTCATTGCACTGGAATCTTCTTTGGTCGACTACGTCTAATCGGGTTTCAACATAAGTCTTTCTCGGGTTTCAACATTGCTTTCTCGGGATTAATGTAATTAATTGTCAATAACTTCTTTGTTTGTATTTTCAGTATGACTGCCTGTTCTTTTCTTATGACATCTGAAACGATATCCGAATTACTCAATCATTCAAAGCCCGGCATCCGAATCGCCATCGAACTGTTTCTTTTATGTTCTGCCGATCGACATTTCTGAAGAAATTTACAGTTTAAATTTTTTGGCATACAACTTCAGTTACTGCCTCGACTTATTCCATGATCGAACCAGTGTTATTGGTTTTACTTTCGACCAAAATTTTGCTGCTCAGTAAACGGCATCCAATGCCATCAACTTTTTCCAGAACTTCATTAAATCATCGTCTTTCCTAGCGAAAGTTTTGAAAAGACCATACAGTTCGCACCGGATAATCCGCATCCGGATAACTGAAAGTATACTGTAATTAAATATGTGACACATCATTCACGATTTTTCAAATTCTGCAAATACTATTAACAACTGTTATCACTTACTTATATATCGTTAAAAAGAAATTTTACAATTTTCAAAAAATTGCAATAAACAAAAGTAAATTTCATACTGATGCTGTTTACACATTTTTTGAAGGATTTCGATACAGAATTATAAAAAAAAATCAACTTGGAATAAATATTTCTCGCACGAGTTTATTATTAGAAATGAGAATATACGCTACTTTTAATTTATTCTTTCAAAATGTCGTATATAAACAAGCTGTCGACTGAAGGATTTTAGGGCTCTCCAAAGCGAAATATTCCTATTCCATAATTCAAAAACGCTGTGACATGCACGATATTAAAATTTCTAAGAGCAATATAAATAAGCAACATCATTAATCGAGAAGACAAAAACCGTCAATCATTACTTTTACATGGAAGACTCCAAACAAATACCCGGAAAAGGGAAGTACTGGCTCTGATGTTTTTAAAGTTAAATCGTTGCTAACAAGAGAAAATCTACCGATGCAGAAATCAATTGCAAAGTCTTTAAATACATTTGTAGTAACAATAAATAAAATAAGGAACCAAGATTTAAAACTTAAAAAAGCTAAAAAACAATGTTTACCAGTTTTTGTTGAGGGATGTACCTCAATATAAAGCAATATGTAGAACTCTGTATTAAAACTCTTCGGCAGGAGATAAATGGAAATGCATTGTACCCCTTGATAAAGCATGCGTTTAACCTAAATGACTGCAACAAAAAGGGTCTTTATCGAGAACGAAGAGGTACAAACTTGGTTCCCTCAATGCAGAGAAAGATTCGGTAAGAGGTCGGTAATTGTCGCATAGTTCGCTTACAGTGGAAAATTAAAAATAAGAAGAATGGAAAAAATGTTAAAATCAACTCAATATATTATAAACAGAAAGTTTGACGTCCGATATTTAAAGAAGTTCCAATTCTTTCTAAATGACTTTCAAAGAGACTAAGACAAAGTAACAAGTCATACTTCGGAAAGTACCAATGCACTGCTTGACAAAATAAAGATTGATACAGATATTATATATATAACTTTTTAA